ACACACAGCCAGATATACAGACTGACACACACAGCCAGATACACACACTGACACACACAGCCAGATTCAAATAAAGTCATATACACACACTGACACATACTCAACCAGATACACACACAGCCAGATATACAGACTGACATACAAGCCAGATACACACACACATAAACACACACAGCCAGACACACACACACACACACACACACATAAACACACACTGCCAGACAAAAACACACACACACACACACAGCCAGATAGACACACAGCCAGATATACACACTGACACACACACACACACAGTCAGATACACACACTGACACAGACCCAGGTACACAACATATATAAGAATCAATTTACATATTAGATCCACCCTCCTGTCTCCTTACCATTTGGGTACAGAATGGTGGCTTCCCTGGTATCCAGTGGGAGCTGGATGGCCAAGGCTGATGGGTGTCTGATAAACCAGGCTTACGCAGTCCCTCTCCTCCACTTTTTCCTCCCCTGTGTGTGCCTCCTACTCCACAGCCAGATACACAACCCTCTCCTCCTTCTCTTCCTGTGTGTACCTCCTCCTTCCCATGAGGCTCTCTGTTACTTGGGAGGCCAACGGAGGAACAAACAGAATGATAGGGGCCTGTTCAGGAGCACTATTAAAGGGCCGGGACCCCTGATTACCTCAGGTGTGGCTGCCCACCGGGACATTTCTCAGGATCTCAGTGGGCTTGTCAGTATCCTGTTTGTGAGCAGGGGGCCCACAGGGCAGCTGCCTTGGGCCCCCCAGGGGTTAAAGACGGCCCTGTGTGACATAGGAAAAGAATACCCAAATGAAAAACAAATTTGATTTGAACATTTCTGATGAAATATTATACAACAAAATAATTAATCTTATTATTATTAATTGTGGCCTTTCAGGACAGGATCCGAGCCAAAGTAAACTGGAATTATCAAAATTAGAAAAAATATATTACACGGATCCTACTCAGAAAGGAGCCATTTCTATATGTTACACTCTTTTGGCTGGGGAACTAAATAAAAAATTTGATTCAATTACATAATGGGAGGGAGCACTGGGTAAAACATTTAACATCACAGAATAGATTAACTTTGAAAATGCATTGAGGGGTATTACCCAGTGTGTGGCACATTTAGAGTCCCATTATAAAATTATATACCGTTGGCACCTTACTCCCTCCAGATTACACAAACTGAATTCATCTCATACAAATACATGCTGGAGTGGGTGTGGAGGAAGGGGATATTTGTGTCACATGCTGTGGTCGTGCCCTAAATTTAGACCTTATTGGAATTTAAAACATAAATTTATTAAAACTGTTGACAATTCAATTGATAATTTGACACCAGAGCTTTGTCTCTTCAAGCAAATCCTCATAAATTTACCAAATTATAATAAAATTATACTAGGCCATATTATAATTTCTGCAACGACAATTATCAACGGACACTGGAGAACTAGGTCACCTGAACAACTTTAGCTTAATGAAGCAGTTGTGGTGTATAGAACATGCCCCTTCAGCCTCACTGCTCAATCCTCTGCCATTTAGGAGTTAAATCCCTTTGTTTATGAACCCTAGTCACACCTCCGTGCATGTGACTTGCACAGCCTTCCATAAACACTTCCTATAAAGAGAGCCCTATTTAGGCTTTCTTTATTGCAAGTTCTGTTTAATTAAGATTTTCTTATCCCCTGCTATGTTAATAGCTTGCTAGACCCTGCAAGAGCCTCCTGTATGTGATTGAAGTTCAATTTAGAGATTGAGATACACTTATTTAAGGTAAATTACATCTTTTTGAAAGTGAAACCATTTTTTTTTTCATGCAGGCTCTGTCAATCATAGCCAGGGGAGGTGTGGCTAGGGCTGCATAAACAGAAACAAATTGATTTAACTCTAAATGACAGTGAATTGAGCAGTGAAATTGCAGGGGAATGATCTATACACTAAAACTGCTTTATTTAGCTAAAGTAATTTAGGTGACTATAGTGTTCCTTTAAATCACCGCACATAAATTAGGTCATACAATACATATTTGAAAATAGATGTTGCAAACTAGCTTTCCGCTTCCCAACACCAAAAACTGAAATTTTGAAACAAGAGTGGCTTTTATGGGAAGAAAACATCAGAATCAATTATAATCTTACTTCGTAGTTCCTTCCTGACCGGATGATTGCTAATATGTTGTATATATTTGATTATATATGATAATTTAATGTATATAAACTGATGAGTTATTACTCGTATCCCACTGGATGATTGTACTTATAGCGTTTATCACTGGTTTTATTATTATTTTATGTATTAATTAATATTATTATTGTATCTTATTCTGAAAATGTTTACATTGTTATTTGAAAAATCATCAATAAAAGTATTTGAATAAGGAAAAGAATACCCATTTCATCTAGGTAATATATGACAAGGCAAGACAGGAAATAGTATGTCATAGAAAGACAAAAGAGGAACTATGACACCAGGAAAAAAAGGACAGAAAGTCTATTCACAGAGGTTGATAGAGCCTATGAGACACACCACCAGTGGCATGTAGTTACACATTGCTTGTGTGCTTATTTGCATACCGTTGCCAAAATTTTTGTGGTGTTCAGGACCTTTTAGTGTTTGTTAGTTCATGTAGAGATATACATTAAGTAAAATTTTACCGTTTTTTCTTTCTGTAGTTAAGGTTCTATTACTATTACCATTTTTCACCCATTGTATGGTTATGAGTTTGCATACCACTGCGGACCCAAAAACACTTCAGCTTTATGAGTGAAGAATATACCATTTTAAAAGCACTTTATGAAAGTGACAATTTCATTAAGAAATCAGCCCATTTCTAATAAAATAATTGAAACACCCCCTTGCTGTCAATCAAACAGCTAAGGAGTTTTCTTCCTGTTTCTGTTAGCATTCCTGAGTGCTCCTGCCTACCCCCGCATATGAGTCGACACGCTCATGTAATATACATATTTTCTTTATATATGTATATATTTTTATTTATGAAGAGCCAATAACTCATTAAATATACTTAGCATACATTTCAAACACAACTTTACAGCTAGAGATATACAAATAGATTAAATGGACACTCAACTGCCAAAAGAAGTAGATATAGCCCCACAATTAATTATGCATTTTTTTCATTGGGGATATATCTAAACACAACTTGCAAAAAAACTAGAGACCTTGTCTCATCTTCCGCAGCTCAGACTTGCTGTGGCTGTCTAACCCAGACTTTCCAATGCAGCTCAATGAGAAGTGTTTGCAAGGCAGGTGCTCTGGGCAATTGTTTGTCTCTTGAGTTTAGCTTGAATGATCTAACCAAACCAGGAACTAACAGGACCTGTTGTTTGGCAGCCACTGGGGTGTAACAAGGTTAATTTATAAAAGTGTCAATTTCTACTGAAATCTGCACTTTTTGTAAAGATTGTGAAAAAAAAATGTTTTCACTCATAAAGCACTTCAGCAGTCTGGAGCATCTCTGTAAGCAGAAAGGGTCTTAGTTACAGGCTTATAGTGTGCGTTTTTAGGATCTGTAACATGATTGATGGTGAAAAAAATATTGATAGAGGACAGCCACTAAATATTAATTTTATTTACTTATACATGAGATGTGACCAATAGAGAAAAAATGGAGGATGTGCCAAAATAATAATAGGATAATAAATAGTTATTTTACCTGTATCTTTTGAAGTACACTGATTGTCCCATTTTTGTGTCCTTTCTCGTTTGTCCTAATGTTATCCAAATAGTTGGTCGAACAGGCACATGAAATAATTTGGCCAAACTGAACTTGCCCTCTGTGCACAAATCTAAGTGGCATTGCTCAAAATCGTATTTAAAGAAAAAAACTAAAACAAATGAAATAATGCAATGAATCTAAATAAGTCATACAATATATCTTGCTTTATTTTTCAATGTCTTTGTAGAATATTTAAATAGCACTAAAACAACAATGCATGACATGTATTTTGCACAGAAACTGTTTCTCACAAATAATTACATGAATAAGTGTATATTTTGCTTTTCATAAACGTATAATACTATAGATATCAGAAAAATAAAAAAAAATGTGTTGATAGCATGTCGAGAAATGTCCCTTAAAATAGTGCATGTGCTCCTTGCCGAATAAAGCAAATGCTCCAACTACAAATTAAATGTTGCCAAAACACAAGCCCCAGGCATAAACATCCCAAAACACGACATGACCGCTCTCAAGCAAAATTTCACAAATGTATCTATACTTATGTGTGTGATGAAACCACATCAGATTTCTAGGAGTAAACATAACAACCACAATTAAAACTCTACACAAAGCCAATTATGCAAAACTCTTCAACAAACTCAAATATATAATTCAAGGATGGAGGGGTAGATATCTCTCCTGGACTGGTAGGATAGCGGCAGTCTAAATGTTACTCCAGCCGAAGATTCAATATCTCTTTTGAACACTTCCCCTGCAACTCCCGGCAAAATTCATCAGGGACATGCAACAGATCTTGAACTCATTAATAACGGGGAACATCAAATCTAGAGCCGCAAAATCGACAATGTACAAAGTGTTCCACCAAGGTGGAATGGGACTGCCTGACTTGACAGGTTGCTACAGGGTGGCTCATATTGCCCCCTTGCTCTTTACATTCCACCATAAACACCCACTAACATGAATGGAAATAGAAAGAAGGCCCCCTGATGTAACTGGCAAGGGTACCTAAAGATCGGCGACCTACGTGCAAAAATATGCTGCCCACACCACAACTTACCCTAATCTTATGGGACAGTTATTGAGTTAATTTAGCACAGCATATCTCTCCAGCCCTATCAATAGCTGCCTTGCCACTAATCATTCCTGATTTTAACTATATGATCTGGAACAGGCATATACAGGTATATACTTTGTCCCAACTCCTACCAGACTCCAACCTCAGACCATTCATAAACCTCCAAACAGAGTTCAATCTACCTACTATAGCCCGCTTCTCTATCTAGTCCCTACGCACCACAAACACAGCTTCCCTAATGCATCGGACACCAGTTGGAGATGCCACACTGACAAAGGAACAATGCTGCTGCCCTTGACTCACTGCATACTGGCAAGAAGTAGTCGCTTTAGCAAAGAAATGCACCAGAGTACAACTCCCGTTCAAACCAGAGACATTCCTACTTCTACTCCTACCAAAATATCTAAAAAAGACTCATCGATATCTCGTCTCATCCTCATAGCAGCCCTCATGGTTATTAGCAGGCAATGGAAAGCTACAACCCCTCCTCCCATTGCTCAATGCATACAAATGGTGGAGACCAACAGCCAATATGAAAAGATAGCCAGACAAACACAGCCTCACGCAAAATTCTGGTCTAAGGAGTGGACAATCTAGAACAACAAACGTACCATGCCGAACACCCAATGAAAACATCAACCAAATACAGTCAATATGAGGCCCGATGCCTCCAAGAAACATGATTCTAATCCACCCACTTCAACCAAGAACAGATGAACACGCCCTCCACAAAAGACCCACCTACTGGGAATAGACAAATAGCCCAGAGTAGTCCTAGCTGGCCCACTTAACACACATTGACCTTTATATATTATTGACGGGTGCACATTGGCACTGTAATGACAGACACCACCAGCAAGACGCAGAACCACCACCTCCCACTCCCCCACTGAACTCCTCTACGCGCACCTCAGGTATCCAGTCAGTGTAACCCCAGCCTAAATGCAATCACTTGGAAACCCCCAGGGGCCATGAAGAAGGCCCAAACACACCTTCACACAGCTCACAAACTCGCCCCAAAGAGTGCCTGCACTCATACAACCTTACATGCTGGTTATCTGCTCAACTGGGAATGGGAAAATGTATATAATCATAACCCCTACATAAATGTACAAAAACTTATCTGCTAAACTTGGGGTACAAAAATGTCTATGGAATGTTTTGGATCACTGTATGAACTCTCCCCCCCAACGCTCACCTTCTCTTCTGTACCCTGAAAAACAATAAAAATTGTCAAATTAAAAAAAAAAAAGAAAATAGTGCTTGCAATCTCTCTCTTTCTAACTCCTTATGTCTGTAAATGTGCATTCTCTCTTTGTCATCTTGTAGATAGAGATGTCGCGAACCGTTCGCGAACTTCCCGCGAACGGCTCGCCACGGTTCGTGTCGAGCTCCAGTCAGCTGACACATCCCGGCCAATCTCCAGCAGACCCTCCCTCCCAGACCCTCCCACCTCCTGGACAGCATCCATGTTGAAGCTTTTAAATCTTACAGGCCTATTTAAAGGGAAACTTCCCAGGTTTTTTATATTTTGTTTTCTTATCTTCTGTCTTTGTGAGATGGGAAATATAAAAATAAACAGAAATCAAAACCAATTTTTTTCTGCAACAAGGCAACTCCATATTAGCACTCTTTAGGCCAGGGTTATGCAACCATCAGCACTTCAGATGTTGTGGACTACATCTCCCATAATGCTCTTACGCCCATAATGCTGGCAAAGCATCAGGGGAGATGTAGTCAACACCATATGCAGCGAGAGTTAATTGTTTTAAGCTCTCTCCTTTCCACCTGATAGTAAGCATAGTGAAAGTATACATGTAGTAAATGAAACAATGTTTCTGTTCTCTTATCATAACATTTTTCATATAAGTTTAAAGGAAAACTGAGCACCACATAAAAAAGTTAACATAGGTAATGAGTGATTATTATTGTTTTATTCAATGGTGTAAGTTTAAGAGAAGTGATGTTCTCCATTTCAAAACCTATCTCAGATGGAAAATATACCAACATATCACGCTATGCACTACGTCCAATAAATAGTTAGCTTTTTTACTTCTTACTTGTTAGGATTCAGGACTATAAAGCCCGAAATGGATTATAAAGTGTGGCGCTAGTTAATTTTGTGTTGATCACAAAGTTGTTTTCCTGGGCTATAGTTCCATATAATGCCTCCCTTCATTGTGTCCTCCCCACCTTGGTGCAGAAGGGGTTAAAAAAAACCTTGTGTCACGTACCTGATTCCAGTGCAAATGTCCCTCGGCACTGGTTCAAGCTCCATCGCCACTCCTTCGGGACCTAATGCGTATTCATGGAGATGTTTAGTGCTTTCCTGTGGGATTTTACATAAGACTGGATGTCCTAATGCATGGAGTGAGGATGTACAGCGTCATTTAGGTGACCAAAAGTTGCCTAACCACCCGGAAGTCCCTCCAGTTGCTGTCTACCAGACAGCCAGTTAACCCTCAAAGGTAATTATTACAGTTATTTAAAATCTAATTACCTTTGCAATGAGCTGAAATGATCTGGGTGTTTATAGTGTCCCTTTAAAGTTATTTTACTATAGTTATGAAAATTGCCATTATGGTCAGCTTTCTACGTAGCCTACTATATTTTTCTGTATGTGTATAAGAAAATAACTTCTTTGCCAGGTGTCTCCTCAATAAGGATTGATGAAAAACAATGAATTAATGTCTTGATTTATTCATATGGTTGCTAGTTTAGTCTGTTCTAATATATATTATGTACTGTAGCAGCAGTGACAATGTCAATAATTTCTGTCTGTCTTTCTGTCGGTCCAATTATCTATCTATCTATCTATCTATCTATCTATCTATCTATCTATCTATCTATCTGTCTGTCTGTCTGTCTGTCTTTCTGTCTTTCTGTCTGTCCAATTATCTGTCTTTCTGTCTGTCTATCTATCAGTCTATGTGTTTGTCTGTCTGTTCAGCTAGGTAGTTAGCTATCCATCCATTTCTGTAACATAAGGTTTTGCATTATATTGACTAAAGTATGTTTTACATGAAATACATTTAGAAAAATAATTCCTTTGTGATTAAAATAGATTGTGGCTTTTAGTATGGCTCTGCATGTTATAAATGGAGTATCTTTATCCTGTATTGCAACTGTTTCCACAAATAAATAGCAGTTTGTGAAAGACTTTCGCCCATAATGATTGTGCTCTAAGCTAATCTACTCAGGACAAATTCTTACAGTTTTCTAATCCTATTTGGTTAGAAAGGCAACATTTTATCACCAGTCCCCCACAAATTAAATTCCTAGGGTAATGCTGTGAAGTCTGTATTAAAAAAGACCCATTCAGAGTCTTTTCAGCATTAGTTTACTTTGCAATATAAGCTGCTTTCATTCTATAATTTTCTATAGATCCCATACCTTCAAATTATGCACATATATTTCAGCAAATTGCCTCGGAAATTGCTAATATAATTTTTCTATGCATAGCTTTGATGCTATGCTAAATCATGTTGCTATGGACACAAAACTTGATACTCAGACATAACAAAACCTTACAAAAGAATGTTGTTTTTTTCATCATACACTGCTTTTAGATTCATTAGACATCGGAGATCACTTAACCGTGGGTATGTGAATGATGAAAATAGAAAACAAAAGAAAAACATACCTGTCTAGATCAACCATTAATCTGTTGACCTGCCACCTGCCCAAAAAAAACCCAATAATAATAGGATCCAATATTAATATATATTTTATTTTTGTTAATTCCAAAGCAGTTTCATTCAACAATGAATTCCAGCTGTTGCTGCCCTCACTGTATAATTGGATAACCTTCAGCTCCATGCAATTGGGATAAACAAACTTTGTTTGGGGACTTTAAATCCAAATCCTTCACTTGTCATTGTTCCCATTTTGTGAGTTTGAGATGAGGAGCAAATGAGTGAACGTCTGTATAAACATTCCCCCCATTGACACACAAGTACTACACTATAAAAATTGAGTAAAACAGTCTTCTCATGTATGGTTGTAAATTGTCTTTCTCCTCTCCTCTCCTTGTGAAATAAATTACTAAAACAAAGTGATGGTAGATCGCAGACATGACTACAATTTAAACCAAACGGTATCTAGCAGTGCTTCCCTCATTCTGGAATCTTGGGCACCCAGCACATATTTATCCATCTCCATAACCCTTGAGTATAAATATATAAAGAGAAAGAACTGGACAGGTTATCATGTCAAGGAGGTTTTCCAATCCCATGATATATGGTGGGGGATGTCACACTATGAAATAAAACTGTATTGTACAGTGTGACATTGTGCTGTGTGGGTCCCTAATTTCAGTGCAACAATGGGACATGCATGTCTGGCCTTTCAGAGATTGGAGGAAGCTATGCTCCTAGGCAGCAGTGGCTGATTGGACCTTCCACCTTTATTTTAGCCTCTCTACCACTATTGAAGTGCAGGGAGAGGTACTGGGGATAGATAATCACACTGTTTCTATTTTCCAAGTCCTTCTCCATATCATATAGTGGTGTCCATGACATTAGAGTGTACTACTGTAGGTTACATATCTGTTAGCGCTTACCTTTGTTCTCCACTGGTTCATTCTCTTTTGAATACACTTTTGTAATTCAGTGCCTTGTGTACTTTGATAAGTGGAGGATTAGACAAGGCTAAGGACCTTTGTGAGATTTCTACCATGCCACTCCTGTGACTTTTTATGGGATATTAGAGCTGTCCACTTTTCTGTCCTTTCTACTTTTTTCTTTGTAGTATCCTGGACTTTGTATATTATTCTTTCATTTCGTTGAGAGTCTGTTGGATACTGCTTTTACGTCAACATACTCAGTATTGCAATATATTATTATTTGTGTTCAATTTTGTACATTTTTATTTCTTCACAAGCACACTGCTGCTTTAATCCATGAGTAATAAAAGACCTTTTTAGTTTATCCATTTGCTGTGGTTTGTGCCGTCCTATATTTTAAACACCATCTTATAGATCCTAACCTTAGTTACTATATGGTTACTTGGGTTTATAGGTTGTTCTTGTTTATTTGATATGGGGAACAGTTGCTGCCTTGGAATGTTCTGCAGAAGTAACTAATCTATAGCAGGTCAAGATATGCTGAAAAAGTCCTCGTTCTTCTGTGTCATGGTTTATTATGTCTCCAGAATTCCTCAAGGGCATTTTTTTTTCATAATACATGATTTACTAATATATATCATACATATTTTGATATTCATATATCCTGGTTCTACTGAAAGATAACAGCATAAACATGAGAGAATGGCCAAAGGCAACATCTGTGCTATATTATGTGGGCAATATATCTACTGATATATATTGATATATGAGAATAAGCTTACTACACTTACTACATTGTATTTGTTGTTAGTGGAGGCTTTGTTTCTGTTCCGGGAACAATAAAAAAATTGCATACTAGTATGCATTAACATAAAAAACATTTGTATCATTCGTGTATTG